TCATCATAGAGATATCATAAAAGCCTGGGACTGTTTCCTCTTTTTGCACTTGCCACTTCCGATTCTAGAGTAGAGAGGTGCTCTTGATTAAGCGGCATCGGGCATTGTGGTGCGAAGGTGGGGGAAGAGGGGTTGACGTTGAAAGGGGTTGGACGTTAAAAGTTCTCTCCTTTCCCGGCCTTTGTTGGGTATTCGTAGACTTTTGCGAGATCCTCTGTATGACGCCAACCGTAAGCTAGAATGGCTGATTCGAGTAGCTTTGCATCAAGAAGGGAGTACCGAACTGTGTGGGCCTGTGCGTGTCGCGCTTCCGCTCGATGCTCCCAGTAGGTGTGTACACTGGCCCTTCGAACATGGGATTTCGGTGGAAAAGACGGCATGCATATAGAAGGTTTAGGAGAAGTTCTCCATTTTCGCTACTGTCGCCAGAGCAAGGAGGTCAATGCCACCAATCTCGATGCAGTTCATGCTCACGACGGCGTTGAAATAGTCAACGACATATTTGTAGCAACTTTCCTTCTCTTGAACCGCCCTCAACAAGTCGTCGCGGAGGTAGGCGCATACGCATTCAAAACGGAAATTGCAACCAGGTCTTTTGATTGTAAACGAAGATTGTCAAGGAACGATCTGACGAGTTATGTGAGTCTACCAGTTAGGCGATTGTCGGAATGATCAGAAATTCAGCTTCACCGACATTGCCGTCCACCTTGAGTCCCAAATCGCCGTGACTGGTCTTTTGAACGGTCTCCATTTAACCTTTCGTCGCTCGCGATGCATTTAAATATTGTACCCGCCGGCTACTTAGCAGGGGCTTGTTTAAGATGTTATTGTGCCGCAATTGAACGAGCAGACGAAAAGACAGTCCATGTGTGGCAGTTTGGGGTCTCTAAGGTTCCGGTTATGGTAACGTCTGATTCTCTAGCAACATTAGATGGCCCCTCATCAGCGAAGGCCAGCCCCGACGCTGTAGGGGGACCATGTCTGATGTGCACACGACTGTGCCGCAATTGCAGATGTTCGAGCAATTTGTTTGGTCTCAGTTACTCCCTTGATCCTTGCCAGGCATAGAAGGAAGTCCTCATATGACATACATCGCGTACTGCTTGACCATTTGTAGCATTGACCCCCGTTTTTTGTAGTGTACATCCTATAACCGCGGTGGAAGAGTACACGTTAGGGTGTGTAGCATCATATGTGCTCAAGAGAGTAACATTCCTAATCAGTCGGCATTTAGACCTCACTACAAGAAAGAGGTAAGCTCCTTGGGAGCTAGACGGTCTGACCTGTGTTATGACATAATGTGAGCCAAGATGGTGATGGATTCAATAAGTTACAGTGAAGAACATACAAAAAAAAATGAAAGAAACAGCAAGACATTATGTCGCAGTCAGTACTACAAAATAAAGCGTGAAAACGTGCTTCAAATGGCGTCGAAAAAAAGTGCGTATCTCTGATTGTGGCCTCAAATTGACTGCGCGCGCTCTATGCGATTAACAGTTACGGTGCCAGGTGACGGGATGAAATCCGCAAGCAAACATCAGCAGAGGGTAATGTAGAAGGAGCATACATTCCTACATCGTAAACCAGTTGGATCTCGACATGCTGGAGCCGCTTGAATCAACACGAATGTTTACGAGTTCCATCAGAGCTCTTTCTGCAGCCCTCCACCAGTGTATCTTACTGATAGTTAGTTGAACCTTCATAAAGAACAACCCTAACTTCATTAGCACCTTAGAGCAAAAGCACATAACAAGTGTAATGTAATTCATCAAATGCGGATTTGATAAATAATGGATTTTGGATTTCACCCTCTCTTACATCTATTTTTTACCATTTCATTCCAAAAGGAGGCGCTAGTAGGTTACATGTATCACATAATCAGTATAGAAAAGACTTTGCTGCTTGCCATTTTAGTTATTGTGTTCATTTCGAATTAGTAGCTATATTGAGCTTGTTGGTATCAGACCCTATCCAAGCGATACCGTTGTGAGCTCGAGAGACGTTACTCGGACTGCATGCACTTCAAAAATAGTCACAGACAGGATATGAGCCTTTGGCAAACATTGGTAGATTCCTCCACACAGACTGCCGCTGGTGATGATAAAAACACCAGCGTCTCGAATATTTTCCGAGACTGCACAAACAAAGTACACGACGTTTCTTTGCGTGAGGCAATCAGAGAATCCTATTGAGTGGAATATGATAACCATGAAGTATTACAATATGACAGTAGACCTCTATCGTCCATGTAAAGACTGCTTGTTGCATGATGTTTGCAGACCTTATATCCAATAAGAAATCTCTCGACTATAATCTTTTGATACCTCGTGCCTCCTATTACGTTGACATCTTTGGTACTTCGTTTATTAGGAAATGTAGTGATCTCTTATAAAGAAGAAACGAGTATTCAGATTTATATTAAACATCAAATACCCAAGTATCTAATCTATCGATGTGAATTACTTTGAAAAATAAAAAGTTACTCGAGCAGTTGCTTGGTAGCCAACCTAATATGTTCTACGGTCGCAGGAAGGCGTGATCCAACCCACCGGGTCACCGTATGAGGTGAAGGAGCTAAACTAGACTGAAAACTTAGGTTCCAGTAAGATCAATTGCATGACAACTCCGATAATGGAGCTTCAAAGGCTGCAAGTTGCCCATGCGACACGATGTTCTGAAGCTGTAAAACCTCACTAAATAACGTTGTTTGAAAACTTGCTGGAAACAAGCTTTTCATCGCGACATTGAACGACTCCCTCAAAGTGCACTAAGCAATTTTTACATCAGTTTAATATGCCTCAGTCTTTTACGTCTCGAATCATGTTTGGCTGTTGCAGGTCACTATCTATGCTACGAACTCAAGCATTCATACCCCCTTAACATTACTACATATCAACTACAAGAAAGGTCGCAATAGGGCTGTGGAGGCGTTTGATTAGATATTCGCAAATCGCTTTGATCTTTTCAGACTCTGAGAGGGGCGATATCTCGGAAAGAGAGTCAATAGAGTTTATTAACAACCTCGTGAGAGTTTAATATAAACTATATCAAGTTACAATCTTGGAGAGGTCTATGGAAGGCTACGTACGTGGAGATTTCTGTTGAAATGTAAAACTCTCAAGCAAAACAACGGTCGTAAATACCTTCCGCGGTTAAATTGTTATGGCATTAGTCGACGTTGAAAAGATAAAAGATTTTCAGGAGTATAAGGTACCTTATTTTGGATGGACGTGCTGCATACTTGTGGGCCAAAGCTCCGAAATAATGTTGAGTATTTGGTGAATTCCATCGGCAGCGATCTATGTAAATCATAAAACAACTATTTGCTCTCACAGACGCACATATCAAGGGCATCATTCATTGCAGATATTCAATGGGAAGCGGGAGAAAGTGCTCCTCGCCTGCTTCCTTTGCGCGAACCTTCAGCATTGAATAGCTTGCAACTTCATATTTTCGCTATTGCTCAAAGTTTCAATGTTACCGCTAGCAAAATATCAATCTAATTCAGCGCTACACCCGAGAAAAGAACTCAGATAGGGGCGAAATTTGTCAGCATTCTCTAGTATCTCAGCTGAACTATACAATCCTCATCGTTCATTGGCTGGAGCTGTACCCTTCACCTCGCAAGCGCCAACAGCCCATGTTGCCTCTGCGCCGCTGCAACGCCGTGCTAAGGGTTGCCCAAAACATTCACAAGTTGCACTGAGTGCAACCTCTATAGGATTGTTGGCGGTACCTATGGTTAGAGCTTCTACATGAAAGACCCTTTCAAAAGCTTGAATGTTTAGTTCTTGCTCAGCGAAAAAAGCAACATGGTGATTGATCATATTTCCTTCTGATTCTCGAGTTTACTAACAAATTGCGTCGGGGTTTCTGGGGAGATTGTGTTGCCGTACATTAGTTTATGGTTGGATGTGGCTTGATTTCTCAACTCATAAGGGTATGCAGAGCCAACAGTCTATCGTCACAAAGTATGTAGCAGAAATACATGGCTGATGATTTGGTCTGATGATCTGCGAATGCGAATGCGATTGGACACATTTTGGACCATGGGAGGTGGTAATGCGAGTGCCTTTTCCCTGACTCAGGATGCGAGCAAAGCGTTAGTGACAACTTGTCTTTTTTGTGAAAATGTCAGGACGACGTGATTGGAATAGCCCTGAATTTCAAAACGGCTAAGGGATCAGCCCTACCGAACTACGCTCAGAAATTTTATTTAACACACAGTGCTGATCAAAAGAAATCACCTTGAACCTTTTTTTCTCATAACTCATCTCGAAATCGATGTTTTTAATGATCTTCTGATGTGTTGTCAACGGTAGTGATTTAATGTTCCCATCACAGAACTCACAAAAATTTCTTTTCATGTCGTTTGAGAGACCACTTTTCACATTTTTTCTGGACAGGACAAAATTACACCAGTTGCAACAAATCAGAATAGGTTCAAGGTGATTTCTTTTTGACAAGTACTGCAAGTACGCCCCATCAGAGCTGACCATATGCTTTTGTTCATTGTCCTTCGCTGACACTGATGTTTGTCTTCATATGATATTGCTTGACGCTACATGTATATATGTACTTCTTTAGCTAGAGGTTTCTATTTCCCGAATTTCCCAAGAGATTTTCCGCTTATTCTGCTGAACCTAACTTCATTGGGCGTTAGGCTGAATAGACCTTGAGCACTCGAAGCGCTTACAGACCAGGAAAACACTTTTCACAGGTCTTATACAATGAATCGTACCGCTAGGCTACCTGGTCTTCGGATTTTTACTTGTTGGCCTATTGATATTAGAATACTGCTGTTGCTGGAGCGTAACCAACCATAAGCACGGTACTGCATACTGTCATAACGTTCATTAGGCAAAAATCTCAGCAAAAAAAAACAGTTTAATATTGAATACAGTTACATTATTGCACAACAATAAGCATTTGAATAAAAACATGTACATCGAACCCATATTAAGATCAATTTGAGTCATCGAATCACATTCTTTAGAGTCTTAAAGTACTTTAGGCGGTGTGAAGAGTTTTCTCCATTGCATCCCGAGGTTCTCTAGCACAGTCTCGAGGCTAGGCAATGGTGCCAGCGTCGGAGGTGGTGGGAGAGTGGGCAGTCCCAGGGGATTCGTGCTATCACGGTTGTCTTCTTCAGAGGAATCTTCCTCTTCCTTGACCTCTTTCGAAACCTTCCGCTGAGCTTTCTTGGCTTCTGGCGTCTTTTCTGTGCCAACTTCAACTGCATCATCATCTTCAACCGTTACGGGAGGAGCAGAAGTTGTAGTAAGTTCCTTATCTTGATCGTCGTTTGCCTTGTCTTCCTTTGGCTTCTCTTCTTTTGGCTCTTCATGCTTGGCAGTTGTGCTCTCCTCACTTTGGCCGTTGCCCTTGTCGCTTCCATCGCTACTATTATCATGTTCTGCCGAAATGGGCTCCGTCTTCACCTCCTCCTCCGCTTTTTCTTCGGATTTGACTTCATTACTCAATATTTCTTCTTTATTTTCGAACTCTTTGAGCTGTACTGTTCTGGCCGGCATTTCAGCGCTGGTCTTTGGTTCGGGCGTGGTTTCATCGTTGAGAGACTCTTCGACATTTGTGGTGTTTTCCATAGCGGACTTTACAGTTCCGCTCTCTAGGCTACTGTCATTATTGGAGTCCGTGGCAGGTAACTCCTCTGTTTTGGCTTCTTTCGTGGCGTCGGAATCCTTCTTTTTCTCGACCTCTTTTTCATTATTTTCGGTGGTATGTTCCTGCGAATTCTCTTTATTGACATCAGTCGTTTCCTGAAAAAAAGACTTTTAACAAAACTTCTCATGTTCTAGTTCATGTTCCTAAGAGTATTATTCTTGTGTTGGGCCCAATACATTGCATCACTTCTGCTGGCAACTGTTCCAGGAAGTATCGGCATGGTTGTCTGATCATAGATGATCATTTTCACTACTTTGTAAGAGTTGGGTGGAAAGAGTTATGCAGTTATTTTTGGCNGCGACTGTTCCAGGAAGTATCGGCATGGTTGTCTGATCATAGATGATCATTTTCACTACTTTGTAAGAGTTGGGTGGAAAGAGTTATGCAGTTATTTTTGGCACACTAATGGGGTACTGGAGAGAAACTCAAAGTTCACGATAAAAGAATGGTTTGTGAGATTCCCCCATGGGATAAATTTGCGGCCCAATCATATACCATAGATGGCGCTGTCAAGTCGGAAAACGGCGTAGTCAAGGCGTTATAAAGACTCAAAGATTGTATCATGTGTGCCCACGAAAGAGTTTCACCGGCACGCCAGAGGCTGAAGCATGCGCAAGGGAACTTATGTAGGAGGCTTAAGCAACTTGTCGATACCCATAGCGACAGTATAAGACAGTTCTGTACAGTTCTGGCTTGATGGATGGTCAGATTTTTGCGCAATTGCAACAACTGAAATCTCGTCCGAATACCCCTCCCATGTTACTTCCGTCATGGTTATCTCGTTCAGCCTCTACTTCCCCTTTTTTATGGAGCCCTATTTTTTTCAGAGTTCGCTTATTTTCTTGCTTTGCTCACTACCGCTGAGCTATTCCTAGCCTGTACTTCCGCTTTTCGAATGAAAAGGGGTACTTCAAAACTATCGTGAACTGCGTTTTTAAGGAAACATCAGATCCACTCATAGATACCCTAAATCGATACTCCCAGAATGTCCCTCGTTCCCTAGTTTTAGCTTGATGGTTCGCTGAAAAGTAGGTACATATGCTGTAAACCCTAACCTCTGCCGTGGTTGTTGATCCAGATTTCTCCTGTGTTGTTGTTCTAGCTGATGGCTCAGTGGCTGCTTCAAGTTCATTCTTCTCGGCCTCCTCCATCACGACACCACTTATTTTCTTGAACAAATCCTCTCGCTCAGATTCACCTATGAGCTGTGGCTCTGGTACCTGAATTAAGAAAGTAGGATCAGTCTACGCATCTTTTTGGGCAAAGTTCGTTTGATACGCACATTGGAGATATCAACCCCGTGCTTTTTCATGAGCGCCAACTCTCTGAGTCTTGCGTACTCACGGTCGTTTGCCGCCGAGATGGCGAGCTTCATCTTTTCCAGCAGACTCTTGTCAGGGTCATTATCGAGCAGTTTCCTGAAAAGCTGGTCAGTCCTGTTTGAGTGTCAACCCTTTGGGAATCTCCTTCTCCTTACCTTAAATCACTGTGTTGGGCACGACTAAGGAAAGTGCGCAGAGTTCGTAAGAAGTCCTCTATGTGCTGCTCTTTACCAACTGGAATTTTCGGCTTCTGGCTGAGGTCGTCAACATCTTCTGTGTCGATGACGTTCCTAATAATGGGATCAGATGGCGACTGTGTCGTCGCTCCGCTTCCCTCTTCATCACAGTCATCGTCACCTGGGGGCTTGATGTCCGTCGTAGGCTGAAACGCTCTATTTTGGATGCGAACTGTAGCCATTCATTTGAAAACTCACAAGATTTTTGTTCAATTTCTCGTCGAAATCCTTTTCCATGTCCGCCTGTCCAGCACCGTCTTCTTTACCAGCCTATAATAAGAAATTCTAAATAGAAAAAATCCAAACGATCGTTTTTGACTACTTGAAGATAGTACCTCAGATAAACTGACTAACGAATCAGTTGCTTTGTCCTTTTTTCTCGTCTCCTTCTTCTGTGAAGTCCCTTCA